GAGCCGGCCTCCAGCGGTAAGGCAGACGACACGCCCGCCGGCGACTCCGCAGCCGCCGCCAGCGCCGACGCCTCGGCAGCCGGGGAGAAGTCCGAGCAGCCTTCGAGCGACGCCGTCGGGGAGGCAGCAGCGAAGACCGACGGCGACGCCAAGACGACAACGGCAGCCGCCGACGGCGCCGAGGGGAAAAAGGAAGACGGCGACAGGTTGGTTGTCCGGGCAGCGCACTGAGGTGTGTCTGCGTCCGGCCGCGCGCTCGCGGGTGTCCGCTACTAGTGTGTCGTGTGGTGCGTGCTGGGGAAAGACGCGCCGCTGGGTTGTGCGGGCCATGGGTGGGTGCGCGGGGCACGGTCGCTCGCGGCGCTCACGGGAGCACCTCGCACGGGTCGCCGGGTGGGGTATTGATGTCGGTCGATGTATATGGGAAGCCCCGGGCAGGCCGGTAGAGGAAGGGTCCCCCACGCCTGCCCTGCCACGAGCCACGGGCTCGGCATCCGGCGCTCCAACTGACGTCCCAGGAACCAGGTGGAGTTGGTGAGCTGTCGGCAGCAGTTTCCGGCCGGGTCGCGACTTCCCAGCCAGTCAGCGGTGCCAGGCGCCATCCCGAGCGCAGCAGCGGCAGCAGCAGTGACAGCAGTAGCGGCGGCACGGGACCAACCATCGGCAGAGCAGTACGACCGACTCCTGTCTTCACCGCGCCTACCCCGGCGGCTAAGCCACCCCCAGCCCTGCGACCCGTCCCCACCAATTGCAGACGGCCTGTCCCGGGGGCGACTAGTATTTTGCTTATTTATTTTTGGATATTTCAGTTATGAGATATAATTAAGACATCTTTATTTCCAACTAACATCTTTGATAGCTAAGAATGCGATTTAGAGCACTGCCGCATCGATTTTACTGACGGGCGCCGTGTAATTTCAGCAAGCCGGCCACAGACGCAGAGAAAAAAGCCGCAGAGGAGAAAGGTGAGTGGTGGGGGCACGGCTTTTCCGGTTTCACATACAGTGTCTCAGGTGGCGGACGCGTCCAAGATAGCCAGACTCAGAACTGCTGTGCACTTAGCACCTGATGTTTCTCATCTCATCACCGTTGATAACTGGGCGGATGCGGCAGTGGCGTTCCCACCGTTAGAAATCGTATAAATGGACAGATGGTTTTGCGAACACTCACTTCCCGTAGGAGACTACGGGGGCGTGTGAGAAGTCTGAGATCATTGCAGCTGGTCTCTGTGTTGATACTTGATACCACTTCCTGTCGGAAACAGCGTGGGAAAGTTGGATTGTGGAAGGACCAGATGACCTGATCATTAGGGAGAGCTGCGTTGTGGTATAGCAACTTTTTATGAAAGTCTGTTAAATCCTATCTGTTTTCTACCATTGTGTCGTCGTTTTTACGCATCTTTCCGCTTTGGTAGCCATAAAACCGGCTGTCATTGACAACGTGTTCTTTTACAGAGAAAAACAAGGCCAATCGCAACCTATGGGTGAGCGGCCTGTCCTCGATGACTCGCGCCACCGACCTGAAGACGGCCTTCTCCAAGTTCGGCAAGGTGATCGGCGCCAAGATCGTGACGAACGCGCGCACACCGGGCGCGCGTTGCTATGGCTACATCACCATGGCAACCACTGATGACGCCACCAAGTGCATCGGCAACCTGCACAAGACTGAGCTGCACGGCCGGATCATTAACGTCGAACGGGTCAGTAATGATTAGCGATGGCAAAGGCGTTGGTAAATGGATCTTAACGATGCTGATGGGAGCAGTCTGCCCCCAGAAACTGATAACATTTGCCGAATTTCTCGTTAAAACGGCGCTGTATAATGTGTGATACTGTCTAGTAACGTTGGTATGGCCATTTGTATTTCACTGGTCGTCTCCGTTCCACAGGCTAAGAGCGACAGCAGCGTGCCGGACCGCCGCGCGGACGACCGTCACCGCGACCACCGGCGTACTGACTACCGCCGGCGGGCAGAGGACACCCGCCGGCGCGACGAGCGGCCACGCCGTGACGCTTCCGCCGACGCCAAGCCGGCCGGAGACGGCGCCGACGCGCCCGCCGCCGAGGGCGAGGCCGCCGCCGGAGAGGGCGGTGATGCCGCGGCGAAGGATGGCAACGCCCCGGGTCGCGCCAACGACAGGCCCAACGACCGACCGGCCAGCCGGCGCCGCGACAACGACGTGGGCCGCCGGCCGCCGCCGCGCGACCAGCGAGGGGACAACCGGCGGCCGCAGCGCGGAGTGCTCACCTTCCAGCAGATCAAGGAGGAGCGCGAGCGGCAGCGGCGTCGTGAGATCGAGCGCGAGGAGCGCGAGGCGGAGCGCCGCCGGCGGGACGAGATCGCCCGCGCGCGCGAACAGGACCGGCGCAACCGCGAGGAGGCCATGAAGCTGGAGAGGTGAGTGGTCCTTAGTTTTTCACTACCTCACCCGCGCTGTTTTCTCACAGTGCGATCTGTGTTTGATACGACTCATCCGCCTGTTGCCGGCCAGTCTGTTAATGATATTCTGTGTCGGCAATTCAGAAGAAGTTTTATCAAATGCTTTCGCCCTCGGTTTGTAATTATGCCCACCGGGTAGACTGGGATGTTGACTGCTTGGAAATTGGGCGCAAAATGACCCCAGCAATCGGTGCGCCCTAAAGCTCCAATAAACAAACAAGATCTAACAATGTGATTTTACCCGACGCTGACCGTGACTGTTTTTGTGCCAGGGAGCGTGAGCGTCTCCGGATCGAGCGTGAGCGCATCGAGCGTGACAAGGCCGAGCTGCTGCGTCTGGAGCGCGAGCGGCAGCGCGCCGAGCGCGAGAAGCTGGAGCGCGAGCGCGAGGAGCTGCGCCGCGCCGCCATGCGCATCCAGGACGCCAAGCGCAACATCAAGCGGCCCGCCGAGGAGCCGGCCGCCTACCCGGAACGGAAGCGGCCGGCGCCGGCGCCCGCCCCCGTGGCTGCGTCGCGCACCAGCTCTCACTACGACGATCGACGCTACGCCACGTCCCGCGACTCTGGCCGCGCGCCGGCCGGTGGCGCGCGCGATTATGGCCGCGCCGAGGACCGCCGCGTGAGCGAGCGCTCTGAGCGGTACGAGGCGGCGCCGCGGCGCGAGTACGACCGGCGCGACTACCGCGAGCCGGCCCGCTCCTCCCGTGACCTGTACGACTCAAAAGGTACGCGTCGCCTATAACGGCGCTGGGATGGCGGTGAAAGGGGACACCGGCGACTAACTTATTCCAAATGATGTGTCTTGATTGGATAAAGGATGCTCGCTCTAATTAACGTAATCCATTATTTTCTTACTACGCTGGTGCCTTCACACACCACTGTCACAATAACTGAAATACTTTGATAAGCTTCCCATGAAAAAATACAACTAGTTCTTAGGGCACTGAGCATCTTACCGTCTATCATGCATTGGGATCTGGAGCCTTTTGCTGCGTTCCTGCCTACCTTGGCGTTTGTTTTGTCTGCCCGGTTCGTTGTGTGACATTCTATTGTTCGTGCCAACAGGGACGGGCTCGAGCCGTCAGTACGGGGACAGCCGCTCGGGCGGCTCGTGGCACACGGCTAGCTCCTCACACGGTCTGGGAAACGGACAGGCGGCCCCTCAGAGAGATACTTGGGGGGCCGCTATGGACCGCAAAACGGACTCAAGCCAGCAGTGGGGCCGCGCCGGCGGTTCTAGCGAGACCGGCTCGCGCTCGACATCACGGTGAGTGGTGGGCAGTCGTAATTAATATGAAATCGTTGAACCATATGAGCCTGAAAATGATGTCGCTAAGGATCGCTTCCTTTGGTGTTGAATGCGACCGTTACATTTGTGATCGCCATTCGACAGTACACACGCGTGCGGCTGGCGTAGTTGGTGAATCAACCTCATTGACAGTTGATGTGGAACTTATATCCTGTTCTTTGAGATGTTATCGGATATTTGCTTTTCCGGCATTTGCCTTACGCACGACAGCAGATAGCCGATCAGCTAGCAGATAGCCGATAGCCTATCCCCATCCCCGTGACTAATTAGCTGATCACCCTTCCGTCTACCGTGCTGACCTCTCCCCTCCCCTGGTCCCGTCAGGTGGGGCAGCAGCAGCGCTCTGAGCCGCCAGCCGACAGCCAGCAGCCTGTCGGCCGTCGGCGGCTTCATGAGCAGCTCGCTGAACCCCTCGCTGGGCGTCAGCAGCCTGATGCAGCCGGCCGTCTTCGGCTCGGCCCCGGACAGATTCGACGCCTACAAGATGCACGGCTCGCTGCCACGCCGCTACTGAGACGACCGGCGCGGCCGCAGCGTCCGCGTGACGGGGCGAGTGCTTGCGAGTGCAGAGTGATTGATGATGGAGTGAGAGGATGTCAGTAATCAGTGAATGCGGGGACAGGCAGCCACCGACCGCCAGTCTGCCCGAGTCTGTCAGGATGGATGGACGGTGCGCGTGAGCTCTTATTTAGCTAGGATCTCGGGGTCGCCGGCGTCAGGAGCAACTGGCCGAATGGTGGTGCGAGTGTCAAGAGAGTGTTGTATGCTTCACCATTATAGCAGGCATCACGGGGCGCCTGCGAGGGCCCTGCGGCGGAGCGCGGGCCCGGCGGCCGCCCACCATAATCAGTGTGGTTTCACAGGTCGACTTTAGTTATTACTCTTCTTTGGGAGCGGACGTAGTACAATGTTCGTCTTGTGATGTAACGCTTCAAATACATGTCACGGAGCTACAAGCTATTTTACAAGTATTTTGATGTCAAATCCCGTCAACTGATTGCTATGCCCACGGGAAACCGGTAACCTGCTCGTCGGTACGGGACGGTTTTCGGAGAATCATAAGCTCGTTTTATGAAGGCAATGAGTCTGTACTAGTGCTGCGAACGTTCTCTGATGCATGGATGAATAGCGTTCCTGATCAAAGCTTTTTTTATTAACTAGGATTTAACGAGCGATGGCAGAATTCCGACAAATGTCTGGGAGTTTATAGCAGAAAGATGCAGCTACCGTTCTACTTCTCTTCATGAGACGGGAGACGTAGATCAAGGCTTTCCGAACTCTGACTGGGACAACGTAACAGCGGGATCCTCACGCATTGCACTGTGGTGCTCTGTGGCTGCAGTGGCTCGCTATAGGTGCCAAAATTCCGCTTTGTAGTGTCGGCCATCTATAGAACGGTTGTCTGGTTGGATGTGGCATGGCGGGTACTTTAGCAAAGAAGAACACCAATGATGCACTTCTGCCGCAGGTGTGACGTGAGGTGGCGCTTGTATTCCCCGACGGCATTTCTCATGTTTTCAGCGCGCGCTGGTGGTGAGTCCTCGATTTAGAATTTAGATCTATTTCTGGCGAGGTTTTAAATTTTAGGAGTATGAAACGGTTTTATTTTATTTTTTCTTTATCAAGTGTAGTCCGTAACTTGAGAAGTTCTTTCTTCGGTGAATGAGCTATTTCAATATCCACTGGCAGAAGGGATAATGAAAATGCCACGGTGACATATAAGAAGATGCCATCGCCCATCGCCCCCTCCCAAGCAAATGTATTTGATCAGTTCAAGAGATTGTAGAAATTGAGGAGTATGACAGCTGTTGTTACCCAGAGGGCTGTTCACGGGCCCTGTTTGCGGTTGGACCGCACACAGCCTCCAAGCTCCGCCCACTGCGTCCCTAGTCCTACGTCAGCATTCCGTCACCGCACACAGCGACCGCTGTGGCCGGTCGGGACGGGCCACAGCGGACCGTCCACCGCACGCAGCCGTGACGTCAGAGCCGCCTACCCATCCCCTACCCCCACGCCTGCTGGACGCACCGCACACACCGCACGCAGCAGTGTGCGGTGCCCGTGAACACCCCTCAGGTCGAGATACAGATCCAGGGGTGACTGTTCGGGAGAGGTAGCATCAGGGCGCGCCGCGGCGCCTGCCACTGAATTACCAAAAATTGTATAATACTAATTGAAAAAGCCATAGCCTACATAGTTTTATAATAAACATGCTTCCAAATGAAAAAATAATGATATAAAAAAGTGTCAATTTGTTTTGAAATTTGAGCTAAACACCCTCAGGCCACCCACCACGTCCCCCAAGCATTCATCATCCAAGGGAGGAGCTTTGGGGGCTTCATTTCCCAGCTGAAAGCAATATGCTGTCCTGTGGAGTGACAAATGGGGATGCCAGTTGCCACTTGGCACAGCATTTTCCATGGGTGTAACTTTGTATACTTTCGAGGTCCCATGTGGGACCCCAGTGCGAACATTTGGGACCCCAATTGTCATTTTGGGACCCCAATAGTGAAGGCCCCCGAGACGCACCAGCTACTTTACAAACAGAAGTCCGATGTTCATATAGAAGGTTCTCTGTATAAATAGGAGGCCCCTTGGACAAATCGGAGGCCCGGTTGGACAAATGGGAGGCCCCCTGGACAAATAGGAGGCCCCTGAACAGATAGGAGGCCCCCTGAACAAGTAGGAGGCCCCCGGAAAACAGGAAGCCCCCTGGATAAATAGGAGGCCCCCTGGATAAATAGGAGGCCCCCTGGAGAAATAGGAGGCCCCCTGGAGAAATAGGAGGCTCTCTGGACAAGCAGGTGGCCTACTGGACAAATAGGAGGCCCTAGACAAATAAGAGACCCTTAGACAAATAGGAGGCCCCCTGGACAAATAGGAGACCCTCTGTACAAATCAGAAGCCCCCTGAACAAATGGGAGGCCCCATGGACAAGTATTGGACATAGGAGGCCCCCTCTGTACAAATAGGAGGCCCCTTGAAAAAATAGGAGGCCCCCTGGACAAATAGGAAGCCCTAGATCTAGAAAAACAGGAGGCCCCTTTCACAAAAGGAGGCCCCCTGACCAATTAGTAGCCCCCTGGACAAATAGGAGGCCCCTTTCACAAAAGGAGGCCCCCTGGACAATTAGGAGGCCCCCTGGACAAATAGGAGGCCCCTGGACGAATAGAAGGCCCCTGGATAAATAGGAGGTCCCCTGAACAAGAAGGAGGCCCCCTGGATAAAGAGGAGGCCCCATAAAATAGGAGCCCTCTGGATAAATAGGAGGCTACTTTAACCAATAGGAGGCCCCCTGGACAAATAGGAGGCCCCCTGAACAATTAGGAGGCCCGCTGGACAAATAGGAGGGCTCTTGGGCAAATAGGAGGAACCCTAGAAAAAAGCAGGCCGCTTGGACAAATAGGAGGCCCCCTGGACAAATAGGAGGCCCCCTGTACAAATAGAGGCCCCCTGTACAAATAGGGGGCCTCTTGAACAAATAGGAGCTTCCATGGACAAGTAGGAGCTAGAGGCCCTCTGTACGAATAGGAGGCCCCCTGAACAATTAGAAGGCTCCCTTAACAAAAAGGAGGCCCTTCAAAAAAGGAGGCCCAAGTAGGAGGCCCCTGCACAACTATCAGACCCCTGGTCGAATAGAAGGCCCCTGGATAAATAGGAGGCCCCTGGACAAATAGGTGGCTCCTGAATACATAGGAGACCCCCTGGATAAAGAGGAGGCCCCCTGGAAAATAGAAGCCCCCTGGATAAAAAGGGGACCTTCCGGACAAACAGGAGGCCTCCTGGACAAATAGGATGCCCCCTAAACAAATAGGAGGCCGCTTGGACAAATAGGAGGCACCATTAACCAACAGGAGGCCCCCTAGACAAATAGGAGGCCCTCTGTAACAGTAGGAGGCTCTCTGTACGTGTAAATAGGAGGCCGGCGCTCGACCTGTAGAAGCTTAGCTGTATGTACAAAAAGGAGGCTCTCTATGCAAGTAGTCGAAGTAGGAGGCTCTCTGTACTGTATCTGCAAATAAGAGGCCCCCTGGGCAACTTAGAGGCTACACAAATCGGAGGTCACCTATAAAAAGCGGGACTCTGTTGGAATACCTTTTTGAATAAATTGTTTTCCTGATATTCAAATTATTTAATCCTCGCCCGTACATGGGGGGGGGGGGGGCAGTGATTGCCACCCCCCAGGTAGTTTTTTCTGTCTGCTTTCAACATTTTGATTGCTAGAAGCCGGATGTTTCGTAGCTGCTTCTCTATCCTTTCTTAGCGTCCACTGAAAATTCCAAGTTTCTGTGGTGTTTGGTTTCGGAGATATGACCTTAATCTTCAGGTGATGTCATAACCCAAGTGACAAATACCCAATATCTTGCGTTGCCTTTGGGTCTTATGACATAGCTTTTGACACCTTGATTTCGGCCTTTTCTGCCAGTCTTACCTCCCACCTATCATGGAATATGTTGTTCGATGATGTAGAGACGCTAGGGTCAGGGTCAAGGTCAACCTAGGTCATCTAAAAAATTTGCGTTTTAGGCGAGCTGAATTTACTTTCGTGAAGTTTCTTTGACTGTATTTTTGGTAAAAGCTTCTCAGTTCATGATCTCATGCTATAGGGACACATTCACAATCGGTGCACACATCAGTATACACACAGACACACACACAGACATACAAACACATATCATTGACCTTGACCTAACTTGACCTGAAATGACCTCAGCAGCAAAAACCTGGTCGGGTAGTGTGACAAATAGGTTCTAGCTGGGTTGGCACCACAATACTGCAGCGTCATCGGTATATGATGAGCAGCGCACGTGATATTCCAACGGGCAACGGTGACCCCAAACAGCAACGTTCTTTAGTTTGACCTGACCTGGAAGGTCAATGAATGACCTGATGAGGTAAAATTTGGTATCATTGGATTCGTCTCTTCCCAAAGAATATGTTGCTCTTGACTGCGAAGCTTAAAATCTTGTTTGAATAAATTGTGGTGATGTCGAATAAAATACCTACACAAGCAGCGGGCCAACCAATCATATACCGATGACGCTGCCGTATTGGTGCCAAGCCAGCTAGAACTGCTCTTTGTCACACTATCTGACTAATTTGCTGGCTGTGGTCATTTCACGTCAAGTTGGTCAAGGTCAATGATATGTGTTTGTATGCCTGTGTATGTCTGTGTATGTACTGATGTGTGCACAGATTGGTTTGTGTGTCCCTATTACATGAGATCATGAGCTGAGAAGCTTTTACTAAACATGCAGTTAAAGAAACTTCACGAAAAGTAAATTTAGCTTGCCTAAAACGCAATAATTCTAGATGACCTATGTTGACCTTGACCCTGACCCTGACATCCGTACCTACATCGCAGAACAACATGTTCAATGATAGGTGGGAGGTAACACTGGCAAAAAAAAAAAACGAAATCAAGATGTCAAAAGCTCACAAGGCCCATAGCAAGCGCAAGATATTAGGTATCCGTCATTTAGGTCATGACATGACCTGAAGAACAAGGTCATATCTTCAAACCGAAAAGCCACAGAAACTTGAAATTTTCAATGGACGCTGAGAAAAGATAGAAAAGCAGCTATCCAAAAATCAGGTTTCTAGCTTAACCCGCGCGGGGCTGGGGGGGGGTAAATTTTACCCCCCTCACGAATTTTTGCGATATCTCAAAAACGGCGGCGCGCAGCGCCGCCAAACTTTCAGTACCTTTTCTTACATCAATTTGACACCTTCCCTGAAAATTTGAGCGAAATCCGTCGGAAATTTTTTGAGAAATTGACGTTTCAGTGACGTCATGTTCGCCATTTTCGCCTCAAAAACGGCAAAAGTTCAAACGCCGCTATCATCTTCATTTTTAAAGGAATCAAGACGTAACAAAAAAGGTTATACGTAATTTTACTTTGTCTATCAAATGGCTGTCTCGGTTTTTTGAAAATTTTGGATTTTGGCCTAAAATTTTTCAAAAAACTGATTTTTTTTGGGAAAATCATTATAAAATCCAAAATTTTGAGTCTATCGAAAAAACCGGAATATATGTCAGAGAAGTTGTCTATGTGCACCTACATACCAAATTTTAGAAGAATCGGTTCAAAAATGTGGGAGTTATTCAAAATTTTATGACGTCACGACACACAATTTTTTTGAAAAATGACTTTTTTGGAAGTTCTAGACCTCGTACGGAAACAAAAATAGCACCATTCGATTCGCCGTGAAAAACTGCATCAGATAGACACCTTTTTAGGCCTTAACAACCAACTTCAAAATTTGACCTCACTTGACCTGACCTTGACCTGACCTCGACCTGAAATTCATCCAGAGGTGGTCCATATCACTTATTGAGTGTGCCTATTGAATTCTATGAGTAAAATGACCCATAAAACATGTGTCGCACATGCCCTTTTCTATATTTTGTTTTTTGGTGACCTGACCTGACCTGACCTGACCTTGACCTTGACCTCTGAATGATAT